GCTGTAAAATGATTTTCCGTCTCTTGAAGAAGTAGCACGAGCGGGGGATGGGGGGGGCGTATCAGGGATTGTTGGAGTAATTAAGATATGGGCTCACATCACACGAGGGCTTTGCACACGGGAGACCATCAGATAAGACTCGACGTGAAAGAGTTTGCCGGGAAAAGTGGGACTTTGATTCATGACAAAACTCTCGGCGGAAGCTCGGCCCCCTCCCCCGCGGAATCGACCCCGACACCTCGCCGTTATCTGCAATAGGCGGGTTATCGCCTAATTCCCGGCAACTCCCTCCTCGGTTTGCCGCGCGGCGCTTTTCCGTCATTATCTTAACGCGAGGCTCTTACGTGCAAAGATTTGCTTGGAAGGTGAACGCAATCGAGCTGACGGCGCGCGCCCCCGATCTGCGCTTCCGCATTCCGCGCGAGTCTTTCCCGCTTTTAGCGGCCGGAGTAAGATGGCTGCAAGTTTTGAGAATCCAAAGATCAAGCCGGCTCTGTGCGTGTGCTGTGCGGTCAGAAGAAGGCCCCGGTGTTCGCTGAGCAGTTTTGAGAATCCAAAGATCAAGCCGGCTCTGTGCGCGTGCGGTAAGAAGAAGGCCCCGGTGTTGGCTTAGCGACGAGCCCAAAGTGCACCAAAAGGAAGCGAAAAGCAGCACTTGAAAAGCTCGCCCATTGGATTAAGACGCAAACGCACTCCATCATGAAGACGCTATTCCACTTGGATTGGTTTTTGGTTTTTGTGACTGTACGTCCAGGGTCATCTATTGGCCGGCAACTGTTGCCAGGCAACCGCCAAAGCCCTCAGGAAGGTGGCGCTCCCGGTACAGCCGCGTGAAGTCATTTTTTTCCCAATGCTTTGTATCCACGCAAAGTTCTCTGTCTCTCTCGCCCATTTGAACGAGCGTGGCCGTCCGGAGCGGCTCCCGCGCCGTCCGCAAGGATGGAGCGCCGTTGTCGTGCCGGCGCAGCCAAAACGACTCTCGCTGCACACTTGCCTCCCGCTCCCGTTCTTGCGGTACGACTCCTTTTCCCAGCGGTGTGCGTCACTAAAATACTAAAACACGACGACGCCATGCGAAAAAAATCGCTTCTCGGGTGACTGCGGGCCTCACGTTGACAAAGCCGGCAGCTGCCGCGGCGATGGAGAACCGAGGAGGCCCGCTCTTTTTGGCAGATGCGCAGGGGGCCCGAGGGACGACATGGCCCACGAGGACGAGTCGGCCGAGCCGCGGCGGGTTCTTCGGCGGCGGATGACGAAGACGATTGGCGGGGATGTCATCAAGAACACGCCGGGGTCTTTCCCGGCCTGAAATGGAAGCTTGAGGGTGGAGAAGCTGGCGGATTTGGATTGATATTTCTGTTTCACCGAAAGCTCCTCTTGGCCTTTTATTGATGAAAACAAAACAAAACAAAAGGATGCCTCTCGCTTCAGGTGACTGGAGGAAACCGTTGGAGCGACGCATGTGAAACGGATCACGCGAGCGTGACCTTTGCATCGGCCCCGTCAAATAAACACGCCAAGGAAAGCGATCGATGCGGCCTTGACGATTTGGAGCTTGTTTTCCAACCTGGGCACTGTGCAAGTCAAATTCAGACAAACGGAGGGCATCGTGGAAGCCAACAAATCGCCTTTTGGGCGCGTGCTCAATGCGCCGCTGGCCGTCGCTCAAGTGTGTGTGCGTGCGTGTGCGTGTGCGTTTTTGGTGGCCTGCCTTGTGAGTGAGCACACGAAGCACACTTAAGGACCCTGTTTACAAATCGCATGCGGTTACACAATCTAATCCCAAAAGACTTTCAGTGATCGCCGTTGATAACGTCAACAAACACAATTTGGCGGGCGGGCCGGCCTGGCAGATTATGTCACGGTTGGAAACCGCTGGGAAAAATAGACAGATAGATAGATAAATAAATACAGACCTACCGCACCCGTGCTTTGGGCTGGCGCAAGCTAAGCGGCGTATTTGGTGGAAAAGCCGTTTTCCTCTTTGAAATCAACATTTGGGGTTTGCTCCATCGCCATCAATCCAAGGAGCAGACCAGCGAATATGTTTTTTCACGCTGATTGCCCGAGATGACGCCAATTTGACATGACTCGCCACAATTGTGCGCCGGTTGCTTTTCTCCCAAATAGTGTTGATGTCTCACATATGCGACCAACTGCTGCTGATCAATCTGCATTGACTGGAGTTTAAAAAAAAAAATGGATTCATGCTTCACTGAAAAAAAAACCCGCACACCTGGGACGCATTGCTTCAGCGGCGGCAGGGCGGGTGGAGCGCAGCCTTGACTGAGTCGGGGGGTCCCTTAAGTTTGAAGGTTTGCCGACCCGCTCGGCCCTTTTTAAGACGGCTCGCCAGGAAGTAACCACGGCTCCGAAGAAGGCTGACGCGACAGCCGCATCGGTCAGCCAGCTCAGAGTTTTCTGGAAAAAAGAAACCTTCACCCTCCGTCTTTCATACCAAGCGACGAATAAAACGTGAGCGCGTCACAGAGACAGAAAAGAGATCTTGCTTTTGCGACCTGGCTCGGAGCCGCTCAAAAACGCCTTTTGGAGCGGTTTCCGCGACAAGAGTCCCAGGCTGGCAGCCGGCCCGGCCGGCCGGCCGGCCGCTCACGTTTGCTGCCATTTGGCAACCGCTGGAATATTTCGACGCCCCGATGAATACATGGCCCCCCCAGCCTACAAGCGACACTCCTGTGCATTCATCCCCAGGAAAAAAAAAAAAAGAGCCACCGCCGAACTGGGCTCAGCGCCAGAGGGGACCAACGGCAATAAGCGGGAGGCCACAGGTCTGACTGATGCAACAGCCAACATGTCGGAATCCGCCCAAGCCAATGTGCCATCTTGCCCTTGAGCAAGTACCGAAAGCCCTTTCAGCATTCATTCCACTGCCTTCATACCCGGCCGAGGCGCCAGAAACTACTCTTTGCCCTCTCGAGCTCCAATTCAGCGCGCGCGTACGACCGGCGCCCTTCTCGGAAGGTTTTTTTCCCACCACCGGCATGACCTTAGCATGGATCGAGAAGATCAAATCAATGCTTGCCAGAAACGATTTGAGCCTTGATGGCGGATCCAGATTCCAGATGCCGCCTGAAGGAGGAAGGACGCGTCACGCCACATCCGGTCGGGCGCTGTCCTTGGTGCTGAAGCCGCGCAGGAAAAAAAGAGAAGAAAAAAAAAACACGGAGGGCCCGGTCGTTTGGCATATCTTCAAAAGGTGATGAGGGCGGATGTCATGTTTTGCATGGTGGTCGTTGTTGGGAGGAGCCCAAAAGGCAGGCAGGCAGGCAGGCAGGGAGGGAGGAGCAAGATGTATTGAACAAAATTGCAAGCTGCAATGAAGGTCTCGCTATTGAAGGCCCGTTGTTTGGCGAGGCTCCAAATCGAGGGCGGCGCGGGTAGCGCATCTCATCGTCCGGACGCGAACAAGAGAGCGGACGCCACTCGGTGCCGGACCGACGCTTTGCCGTCCCTCCCGGCCCGCCGATGGCGGCCGCGTGTGCGAGGCGCGCTCCGTCTCAAATCCCCGCCGGAGGCGGCGCGCGCACCGTTCCGGGATGCGGGAGACACTTTGTCGATTATGCTTATTTTGCGAAATGTCAGGCGAGCGAGCGAGCGGCGCCGTCCCACCGCGCCGCTGACCTTTGTGAACCGCGTAAATCCGTCGGGCCGCATCAAAAGCGCGCCATCGACCGGTGGCACTCGCGGCTAGCAATTCCAAACGCGGACTGAAAACATGAGGGAAACCATATATGCGGCAAAAAATAAGCTTTGATGGACACTGTCGCTCAAGTCTTGAACGAACGAGACGTCGAGCGATGGCCGCGTTCAAGCAGTCTGGCGATGCTGACGCCCTTTTTGAAGCGACTGATATGTGAACACAATGGGCGTGTATTCTTTGTCCTCTGTGAAGAACGGCGGCTCGTTTGTTGACCCCACCCCTCCCCCCCCAAAAAATAACGGTTGCCCACTTCCCATTCCATTTCATGATGTCATCGCTGTAGTCTTGTTGCATTCGCAATATTTTGAGGTCGTTGGCGGTGAAAAAAGTTTGATCGCTTTTGTCACGTTTCGGTTTGTGACCACCAGGTGGCACTGTGGGGCTCCACCTGCAGCTGCACACCTGGTGGTCGTTAGGTAATGAGCTGTACAAAAGGACTCCCGCCCGACCTCTCTTTGTTTGCTGCTGTCCGGTTTTGGTCACTGTGATGTTTGCTTCGCTCATGTTTTTGTTTGATGCTTTGGACTTTGTTTGTTTTGGATTGAGTTTTCTCGATGTTTTAATACAATTTGTCAAGTACACGCCCCGCTCCTCTCTCTTGCCTGCTTTTTGGGGTCCACCACCACCACCATCTCGCAGCTTTGGAGGCGAGCGAAGCGGAACGCGGGATGGGGGCGCTCCAAAATGCCTCCGATGACGCCAACGAAGGCTTGACGTCGCTTCGTGTCAGACAAGTGACATTTGTCCTCACCCGAATGGATGCCGGGAGCGGCGGTGCGGTCGCGCCAGAGCCCCCGCGGAGGCTTTTGGCGATGCCGCCCGTGCAATGACAACGCGATGATCAGTTCCCGTGGCTGGGAGGCAGCGGAGGAATTTCTGGACCCCTCCTCCCTCTCCTCCCCCCCTCTCTCGCTCTCGCTCTCTCTCCTCCTGTCGGGCTCGCTCGTGAGTGAGAAAGCGAAGAGAAGAGAAGGGGAGGGGAGGGTGGTCTTGCGGTAGACGCGAAGGAACGGGACTTTATCGAGGAGAAACTGCAACGAGGGGGCTGGGGGGAGCCTCTCGCATGCTCGGAGAGGAAAGGAAGGAAGGAAGGGAGCGGAGGGGGAGAGGAAAGAAAAAAAACCAGCGCGCTGAAGCAAACGGTCACTTGGCGCTGCAAAGAGGCTGCCGGCTGCTTTTGTTTAACTTGTTGATGCGACGTTAGTGTGCCGTTTTATTTGGGCGCGCGCGCGCGCCTGCGCGCGTGTGTGTGTGTGTGTGTGTGTGTGCCCGCGGTGAGGATCGATGGGAGGCGATACGGCAAGTCGTCTCCTGCGAGGATCGGATTAAAGTCCCCTTGGAGGCAGCAGCCGACGCGAAGGTGAGTGAGGCGACGCTCGTTGCTTTCTTGCCATTTTCTTTTTTTTCCTTCGCCTTGCCAACGCAAACGCCGGCTCATCAGTTTGCCGCAAAGTGCCAGTCGATGCGCGAGGGTCGACCGCGTGTGTTGGCCGCACTGCGATAACGCGCGCGCGCGCGCGCGTGTGTGTGTGTGTGTAGGGTCAGCATGGCGGCAGGCGTGGCGGCGTGGCTCCCGTTCGCCCGCGCGGCGGCCATCGGGTGGATGCCGGTGGCCGGCGCCCCGATGCCGGCGCCCCCGCGGGACAAGCGCAAAGGCCAGGACGGCCTGCTCCTGCTCAACGTGAGCGGCACCCGCTTCCAGACGTGGCGCACCACGCTGGAGCGCTACCCGGACACGCTGCTGGGCAGCAGCGAGAAGGACTTCTTCTTCCACGAGGAGAGCCGCGAGTACTTCTTCGACCGCGACCCGGACATCTTCCGGCACATCCTGAATTTCTACCGCACGGGCAAGCTGCACTACCCGCGCCAGGAGTGCATCTCGGCCTACGACGAGGAGCTGGCCTTCTTCGGCATCATCCCGGAGATCATCGGCGACTGCTGCTACGAGGAGTACAAGGACCGGCGGCGCGAGAACGCCGAGCGGCTGCAGGACGACGAGGAGATGGACGGCGAGGGCGGCGGCGGGGGCGGGGGTGGCGACGGGCCGCCCGTCAAGCTGACGGCCCGGGAGTACCTGTGGCGCGCCTTCGAGAACCCGCACACCAGCACCCTGGCGCTGGTCTTCTACTACGTGACGGGCTTCTTCATCGCCGTCTCGGTCATGGCCAACGTGGTGGAGACGGTGCCCTGCGGCGCGCCGGCCGGCCGCGCCGACAAGGAGGAGGTGTCGTGCGGCGACCGCTACGCGCTGGCCTTCTTCTGCCTGGACACGGCCTGCGTCATGATCTTCACCGTCGAGTACCTGCTGCGCCTGGCGGCGGCGCCCAGCCGCTACAAGTTCGCCAAGAGCGTGATGAGCGTCATCGACGTGGTGGCCATCATGCCCTACTACATCGGCCTGGTCATGACCGACAACGACCAGGTGAGCGGCGCCTTCGTCACGCTGCGCGTCTTCCGCGTCTTCCGGATTTTCAAGTTCTCCCGCCACTCGGCGGGCCTGCGCATCCTGGGCTACACGCTGAAGAGCTGCGCCTCCGAGCTGGGCTTCCTGCTCTTCTCGCTCACCATGGCCATCATCATCTTCGCCACCGTCATGTTCTACGCCGAGAAGGGCTCGGCCGCCAGCAAGTTCACCAGCATCCCCGCCGCCTTCTGGTACACCATCGTCACCATGACCACGCTCGGGTAGGTGGCGCGCCCCGACTCCGCCTTCTCCGCTCGGCGCGTCGATTTCACGTCGCGCGGCCTTTCGGCGCGCCTCGACCGCGGCCGACCCGTCTCGCCTCCGCTGCCGCCGGCGCGGAAAACCAAAGCGACGCTTCCCAGCGCAAACAACGTCAAACCCATCGATCCGTTCCACGCGTCCCAAAATAGGAGCGGAAAAGACATTCTCGCGAGAAATACGACCGTTTCAAAAACGCGAAGCCAAATAAAATACACGTACATGAGCACGGAACGTCGGTCTTCCCTCAACTGTCCGAATGGATGCTTGAGCCGGGACGAGCCGTGAGTCCCGCGACCGCCTCGTCGTCTCGGAGCGCCCTCCATCGGGGCGGCGTGGCGAGTCGCCTTTTTTGCCCCCATTCGATTGACTTTGAAGGAGTTTGGATCGCAGGCAACTCTGCTTTCATAGGGCAGACGTTGAGCCAAGAAGCAATGCTGCAAACGCTCGAAACTTCTTGCCCTCGAATATTTCCACGAGGAACTGCGCTCACGTTCGTCCTGCACGCTTGGGTGAGCGCGACGTGATCCAAACAGTTGCTGATTGACGGACGAAATTGTTTTGCTCCATCCGCATCCGGATAGTGGAGGTCTGCCATTTGTCACGACTGCCTCCAGCATGAAGTCTGCCTGGCAACAAGTGGTCACGACCGGGACAAAAGAAGCCAAGCAATCTGGTCCGTTTCTGCGTGTCCGAAGTTCCTCTTCTGGGAAACCCGAAAGTGCGCTTTGCACGCACACGATGAATCCGCAGGCAGAGCGTTAGCTCCACCACGTGCTTCAAATAATCAAACTGACGGTGACGCGCTCCTCGTTCCCAAACGAATTTGGACGCGCGCGGTGAACTTCCTCGCATCGCGACGGCCGTCGCCATCGTTCGGCACCGCTCGGCCCCTTGGGTGCGGCGCGCTTGCCGAGCCGCTGAAAAGTCGTGTCGCTGTTCCGACGGGCTGCCATCTGCTTCCACCGCAACCCCCCGCCGCCCGCCGCCTCCCCCTTTTCTTTGTGTCTTTTACCTGGTGGAAACAATAAAGCGGCAGAACGCGGGCTTTGGCCGCCTGCAGCGGGATTGCCGGTGATACAGTCGGGGGAATAATAATCTTGGAAAAAAAAGACAGCTCGACTTGTGTTTAAAAATATCTTTGCGGGTCGCTACAGCCTGCCTCCTCTGGGTTGGATGGTGCACTTTTTTTTTTTTTTCCTTCCCAAAAAGGCAGAACAAACATTGCAAAACAAGCGGCGTATGATGATTATCATCAGAGATGAAATCAGGTCGGCCGTGATGAGTTCAATTGATGCGCGGCAGATAACAGCAAGGAGGCGGTAACCGGATGACGCCGCCGGGCCGGTGCTTCATTTTTCGGAAACTAATCACCGGCCAGCAGAGTGGCCGATGTCTTCATCGCAAATAGTCTCATGAATGCAGCAGTCCCATCGTAACGTCTCACTTTTTGGCTGGCGAGTGAAGGTGTGTGTGTATACACACACACACGCACACACACACACAGTATGAGGAATGTCAGGAGCCGATTCGGCCCGAATTCCATGGCTCACCTTGTCAACCTGGACTGAAAGTGTGCATGCGGTTTCGTTTGGGCCCCAAATGACCGGCGCAGCCTCCGGCCCCGCATTGAGCCGCCGGTGACGCGGCGTGACGTGACGCGGCGAGCCAGCTGGCATATCCGCAGTGTGATGAAGAAGGCAGCCAGCGGCCGCGAGGACTCGTGTCGATTTGCCAACACCTCGTGCGCGGACACGAACGCGCGCTTCCGTATGTCGACTGTGACGGGCTCTCTTCGCAATTGATTAGGAAGGAGCCACCGGGCGGCTCACGTGCATCTTTTTGTTGTTGCGCCGCTTGCGCCGGGGCTCGGCGCGCGAGGCCTTTGAGCCGGCATCTTCGCGACAGCCCGAGCAAGCGCTCGCTCTTGGCGAGGCAAATAAGCTCCGGCGGGCGCCACCGCCCGAGACCTTTTGACAAAGCTTTCGCCCTCCGCCCGATAGCCGAGCGTGCCTCGCGGCCACCCGCGCTCGCGATGCCTTCCCGCCACGTGGGCTTCCCGCGAGACCGCCTTCCGAGCCCCCCATCCCCACCCCGCGCCGCCTCCCGCTGATGGCCCATTGATTGCGCTTAAGCAGACGTCGCGAGAGCAGGGGTTCCTGTTCGGAGGCACTTGGCAGGCGGCCCGGGTGGAAAGGAGCGGCGGAGAATCAATGGCGCCGCGCAGCTGCGCGTCACGCGTGCCGATCTCGCGCCCGGGGCCGGACAACGCCCTCTTATCCTGCTTATTTATTGGCCAGATGATGTGGCACGCAGCCATCCCGACTTCTTTGTTCGCCCTCCTGGCTCGGCGGCGGCCAAAGCTCAAAACCGAGACCGTTGCATTGCAGAGCAGTTCGGTCATTCGGCGAGCGCATTTAAGGAGCCACTTTCAAATTTTGTGGAGCAATTTGTTCTTCATCTTGCAGGTTGCGGTTGAGCGAGTCGATTTCCCGCCCGCTATTTGGCCGTTCAAAGTTGTTTTCCAGCCAAGCTTCTGTGAAAAGCGACTGCCGTTGCCGTGTTGCAGACGCTAGCCGACGTTAGCCGAGCATTTAGCACGGCTCTCGGGCTTTTCTTGTCATCCCCTGGCGTGTACGAGACTTGTCGGCAATGTCACATCTTCGAGGCGATGATAACTGACTCGGTGGGGGGGGCGACCGGGCAACGCGTTTGGCCCCAGAAGTAGGCCGTCGAAGCTCACCAGCCCATTTGGAAAGCGCGAATCGGCCGACTCCCTTTGAAGGTGACGGATCGGTGCGTCCTACTTTGAAGCGCGAGCGTGACTTTGGATGACTTTGAAAGACGCCAACGCTCTCGTTGGCCCCCGTGGGAGAGTGGAATCAGATGTGGCGCTCTTTGCTTGTTTGTCTCGCGACGCTCCACGCCGTCCAGACGAATTAGCTGCGGAGGGAATTTTTGGGGGGATTTAAGGTGGAATGGAGCGCGGCTGCCGAGAGCAGCTGCGAGGGACTCGAGCGCAACTCACAAGGGGGTTGGAGCGGGCCGAGCTGGCGCGCAAGCGCCTACGGAGCGACGCACGCGCACACGCGCTACTTTTTGGTCAGCGCCGCGCACGCCTTGCCCTCACTCTTGATGCGCCTTTATCAGCTGCCGCCTTCACAAGTGGCCGTCGCCTCTCGGGATGGGCGATTATTGCTCGATTCTTTATTCCCCGCGAAGAATGGCTGCTATCGCCGCATCTGAGCGAGGAGCCGAGACGTCTCCGTGTCTGTGTTTCCTCAAACGGTCGAGTGGCCCCAGGCGGCCGAGGCGCGCCCGCCGCGAGACGCGGCGCGACGTCCATCGAGCGGAAGCGAAATTGAAATCTGGCGGAAACCTTGACATTTTGCTGAACGATTTCATGCAGCCATGTTTTTGTAACGGCGGGCTAGAATGGCTTCGCTAATGCCGCGCCACTATGTCAAGTACACAATTAGCCCAGGTTGGTTCTTGTTGTCGTTCTCGGTCCCGCTCGGCGTTTCCGTCGGCTTCTTTCGGACTCCGTCGGAGGCGAAGGGAATTTTCCGGAAGGAGATTCGAGTTACCTGGAATGAAGGCGGCTGCCCTGTGAGAAAAGATTGTCGACGGAAAGCATTTTCCGAGCCGGGGGCTCGGCTTCCATCCAATCTAACGGGCCGGGAAAGGCCCCGGCGGGCGGATGATAGATTGCCTCTTTCCGTGACCGCCTCCCGTCTCGGCCGCCGAGCCCTAAAAGATACGAGATTGAAAGACCGTGCCGGCGGAGCAGCGGATCAAATAACGCGCAAATGATAAATTCCCGGTGCAAAAATGGCGCGGCGGCCTCCTCCTCTTGCGCCGCGCGCCACATTGACATGCTCGGCGTTTACACGGGGATGGAAATGCCCATTAGTATGCAGACGCGCATCGTGCCTCCTCATCACTTTGGCGGAAGGCGACAATCGCTCTTGGATCGGTGCTGTCGTCAGGTCAGCATTGAGATAAATATGTGCCCCCCCAAAAATCGATTCATACAAGACTGGCTCATTCATTAGTGGAAAATGTGCTGATTGAATGAGATCATCACAAGAGACGACTTGAAACATCTCAAAGCAGGGTTTGTTTTTGTTTTTGTTTTTCCTGGCTCAACTGGAGGCAGAGGCGTGCCCGTCCTGACCGTGCGCCACGGCGGTTCTGTCCATTCAGCGGACTCGCTTTCTTTGACAGGAAACACACTTTCAGTTCAGCGTTCTCATAAGAATCTGTCCATTAGCCTTCGCTGATTCAAACTTGCCTCATAAAGGCCTCTTGTGGGAGTCCACCAACTCATGGGGAAGGATTCGGAACGTGCACTCACAAGTTCTGCGAGGTGAAAAAAGGCAGCAGTGTGTTTCAACAAAAAAAAAAAAAAGTCAATCAAGGTGAGCACAGCAAGCGTATGACTTGAAGCGAGCTAGCAAAGCTAACAGGGCTAACGTCGTCCGTCGAGGGCTTGAGCGCAAGGTCAGCAAAGTCCTTAGCGTGCAAGGAGAGGGACTCAATTATGGAAATAACAGAGGAATGAATGTGGAAGAAACACCCCCCGTGGTCACATCATCACTGCGCAAATAGTCGCTGTAATAAATGGCGGCATTCAACACGGGAAGTCGGCGGCCTGCCACTTGTTACTTGGATGGAACGGCGCCGCTAATGAGCGCGGATCGCGCCAGCCGCGGCCGCCCCGCGGTCGCCGCAGCTTTTGGATGTCGCGCGACGGCCGCCTGATCATTACGATGAGCGTTATTACCGCGAGCGCGCCCCGCAGCGGCGCGTCATCGTGGCCGCTGGATTGGAGCGGTCACGACGGCAAACCATGAGCTAGCATTTAAGAGGCCGCGCCTCTCCAAACCTTTGAAGAGCCGTTTTGCGGCACAGACGCAGGAGCCAGAAGGTGCCGGGGAGGTTGGGGCGAGCGGGGGCGGGGTGGAGAGGCCCCGTCACGACTGCCCTCTGGCGCGTGGGACAGCAGAGCAAACACAAAACAGTCAGCGGCCGCCATACCGCCGTCATCGCTATTTGGCCATCGTTTTGTTTTTGGTTTGTTTGTTTGTTTGTTTTGACATCCGCAGGGGCGAGTCGTAATTTGTGTTGAGTTGTGCGCCTCGCGTGCCGCAATGCGCGACCGAAAGAGATGCGGCGTCGGTGAGAGCAAGAGGACCGCGCTCTTCTCAAATAGCTTCAATTCCATCCCAAACAGAAAACCAAGAAATGAATTCCTGATCACTCAAGTTTTGGGTTGGGCTAGGCGATGTGAGCTGCTGAGCGCACCGTGTGTGAAAGTCGCAGCTTTTCACCAATTGCGGAGGGGTCTGCAGCACATCGCCCAAGGCCCCCCTCCCGCCACCTTAAATGGGGGTGGACTGGAGACCGGTCTCAAGCTCCCCTCCGCTAATTCGCAATCAGCGACATCCTTCATACTTTTCCTTTTTTTTTTGCACGGCTATGATCGAAGAGACGCGTGCTTTGATTTGGCATGCTCCGGGTTTCGCCTCTGTCGGGCCGCTCTGGAACCTGATCAACGGGCCGGAAGTTGAAAGTTGAAGGGCAGCTTTTACCGGGCCGGCGCTTTCAAGCGTCCTTGGCTCTTAATCACAAGAAAACCCCACAAACAAAAACCCTCAGCGTGAGGCCAACAAAGGCATCCTTGAGAGCCCGTTGTCACCGGCTTGCTAGCTCTGGCCACCTGCGGCCGCCGATCGCCTCGGTCGACCCCGATTGCGGGCCGCCGCGACCCCCGATTTCTTTGTTCCGTCTTGGCCGCAGGCCCCATCGCTCGTTCTCTTTGCGAGCGCACCGTGCCGATGAGAAGGGAGACGATCTGCCCCCCATTTGAGTTTGGACAGAAAGCGCTCGCTCCCGTCCGCCCGGCGCCGAGGTCCCGCTGCGAAGAAGGATGTCAGCCCGTCACCCTGACGCACGGCAGCTGTTTCCCGCGCGGCCCGGCCGCTATAAATAGCCGCTTGCATCAGCTCGCGTGGGCCGCTTGGCCGAGCGCAGACAAAACGGGGCGCCTGCGCCGCTCGGGGCCAGATTTCTCCCTCCGCTAATTTCTGTCGCAGGTGTGCGTCGGCGTCACCGTGGCGGCGTCGACGCTTCCCTCCTGCGACCACGCCGGATTGATGGCGGACAAGTGGTCGTCCTCCGCTTGCATTATTTCCGCCCCCCCCCGACACCCGCCGCTGATCTCATTCGAGCGATTTCAGAAACGAGCGCGATGAATCTTGTCCGAATATTCGGCCGTCCATCACGGCGTTCCGCCAAGTGCCAGACACTTTAATGGTGTCGACGGCGCTCGCCCTTTGTACAATGGCGCTCACGAATCCATCTTGCTATTTCGTGAATCAACAGCGTAGCCCGGTTATCATTCCGCTCCCGCCCCCGAGGGTTGGACGCTGGGGGGAATTGCACATTGAAAGACAGGAAAACATATTCCTCAGCTGCCCACAAATGGGAGGCCAGCGAGAAAATGGCAGACCAAGAGTTTGGCTCGCAACGTCGACCGTGACTTTGGACTGCTGCTCACCTAAAGACGGGGGTGTCCGCGCTTTTTCGTTTGAAGGCCGCGTACAGAAAAGTGGAAGGACGAAAGGGCCGCTTTCAAATTCGCCCGCTTTTCCAGTCGAGAAAGCAATTCTGGATGGTTCGAGAGTGCCGCCGTTGTTGTTCACAAATGTGAAGGACTGACAACAAAAAAGAGACGGCAAAGACGATGAGGCTTCTCAATAGCGAAAAAAAAAGAAACATGCCTTGCTCATCGATCAATGGCAGAGCGGGCCTGCGGGCAGGAAAAAGGGATGCCAATTCGTCCGGCAACTTTCTTGCACCCCGCCCAGAAGTATTGAATATTTCTCAGCGGGTCATCCCACGGCTTTTCCAACAACAAGGCACTCGAGAGCAACCGCGCCGGCCCGTAGCCCCCGGTCCGGTCCCCACACCGGCCATCCAGTCGGACTTTGTCTCTCCTTCTTTTGCTGACAACGAGGCGCTCTAAATCAGGGATCTGAAGGGAAGACGCATTTTCCCAGCAGACGCTTAGCAAGACGCATGTCGTAATCGTCGGCCGCTGATGCGAACAATGGCACTCGCGTTCCTTCATAGTGGGGGGGTTCTAGCCGTGCCCCTCAACCCCAAAACAAACAAACAAAGTGAAACTTGCAACTTGTATTTGGAACAGAAATGTCTCCATTGACGAGACGGCGTTTGCGGTAGTTTTGTAGAGAAGAGATGACTTTCTTGGATCGCGTCGGTTGAGCTTCCAGTCAGGATTTCAACCTCGGTGCTTCTCAGCAGCTGAAGGAGTGCATTTTCGTCTGCGGAT